AGACATGTATGGATTTTTAACCCTTTCACTGCCAGAACCAAGTCGCAAGGATCCTTGGAGTGGTGCGTGTTTGTGATATCTACAGTCACTCTGACCACTTCACCGCAATTACATGTTCTGGGCGAAGATCACAGGATTCCTAGCCCTATATAAGCCCTCTCTGCATTCAAAGTTTTGCCTTGTGATCTGAGAATGATTTAATTTGTGCATTGAACCTGTACAGACGGCAAAAATACATAATGGTACAGTCATTAATGAGCACATGTAGTGATTAAGTGTACGTAGAACAAGAAAGGAGTATACAGCTGTCAAATATTTTTTCTACAAATGTGGCGTCGTAAAATTAGCTAGAACTCATTTCTACAGGGGGAGGAGGAATGAGGGCTTAGCATATTGGATGGACACTGGATGGGAACTATGCATGGAGTGTCCGTGTGTTGCATGTATGGGGTGGCTGTGTGTTGTGTGTCTTTGGCTTTGTGTTGGGAGACGGTGCTTGGAGGCCGTGTTGTCAGCATATTGACTGGAAAAATGAGAACTGTTATGTGAGGTGACTGCCAAAATACAGGTCAAAAGAATAATAGGCCTAAACACTTATCCAGACAAAATGGACCCTGGAAGCCATGTTGTTTTGTTTTCAGTAAAGATTAGATTCAATTAAGTTCACCCTCTTTGAAACAAAGATCTTAATACAAACAGTCTAGTAGACAGTCCATATATCTTGAGAAGTCAGTCAGTCAGTTGGATGGGGGAGTGACACCAGACACTCTGAGACAGACAATAAAAACGTTGAGACGTTGAGAGATATATGGACTTTCTATGTCTCCATCTACGTAAACAAATAATTGCTGGGATTTTCTTTTCAGCAAACAAGTGAAGAAAAGTATTGCACAGAGACTTTATATAATACCACATGTGATACAAACATGTTATGTTGTAGTATGGAAGATGTCAGCATGATGTTATAATATAAATATAATAAGATAATATATTTATATTGTGAATACCTTAGACATAGTATTAGTATCTCACTTGTCAAATATCTTTTTTTCCTTCATCTGCTATACAATATGTATCATGTAGCATATTTTCTTTAAATATTGGTATAAGTGCATTAACTACACCATTAACATTGTATTCACTGATGGCGTGTGCCTGTGTTTGTTTGTCCAAGCATGAATGGGTTATATAAGTAAATGAACTATCTATCCTTACAGAAGTTGTTTAACAGCCCTAATTGTATATAAGGAGGATAAAGTAAATGAATCAAATAATTGCAATTAGGTGCTAAATGACCACAACTAGTGTTACATACAATTTATTGAACGACCAAACAACAAACGCTTCTGGTTTCCCCTTTGTCAGTGTCAGAAATGTCCTTGGCATTGACAAAGGGGAAACCCGAAAGTTCTTTGGGCCTTCAATTGTCAAATTTAAAAAAAAAAGAAATTATATTCTATCTAGCTGAGTTTTTTGTGCATTTGAATTCATCCTGTTTGAGCAACAGGGTGCAAGGTTAGCAGCTAAGGGTGCAAGGTTAGCGGCTAAGATATATTCAGTTTTGTTTTTTAATGTGGTATGTAAGGGGGAGAGGGAGTGGGGGGGTAGAAACCTTCACAGAATATCTATTGTCTCAAAAGCTAGGGAAGGAACTGATAAGGAGAACAAATATCTACTCTTTTAGCTAGAGTCTGGAAATTTAGAAACCAGACATTCTTCTCTTGATAGCTGCCATAAATTAATACAATGAATGGGATAGTTTGCTCTTGCGAGGGCAAGTCACATATGGCATAGTACAGACATTTTTTTTAATTTTTTTTTCCTGACAGCACTAGAGACACTTCCATCTCCATAACTGAGCCAAACTTTGATTGGAAGAAATTGGACTAGATGAATATTCTTGAACATTGGCTTAAGGATAGAGTACAACGAGTTGTAATTAATGGTAAATGTTCAGGCTGGACAAAAGTGGTAAGTGGTATCCCTCAGGGTTCTGTTTTGGGACCACTTCTATTTAACATATTTATAAATGATCTTGAAATAGGCATTGAAAGCCATGTATCAGTGTTTGCAGATGACACAAAACTTGGTAAAGTAATAAAATGTGAGCAGTATATTGCCTTGCTGCAGAGGGATTTGGATAGATTGGGGGACTGGGCACTAAAATGGCAGATGAAATTTAACGTAGAGAAATGCAAAGTTATGCACTTCGGGGTTAAGAATGCACAAGCAACTTGCACCCTAAATGGTAGTGAATTAGGGATAACCACACACGAGAAGGATTTAGGAATTGTTATAGATAACAAATTAGGCAGCAATCTGCAATGTCAATCTGCAGTTGCTAAGGCCAGTAAGGTTTTGTCATGTATAAATAGGGGCATAAATTCTGATGAAAATATAATTTTGCCTCTTTTTATAAATCGCTGGTAAGACCACACCTTGAATATGCTGTGCAGGTTTTGGCGCCTGTTTTAAAGAAAGATATCATGGCACTAGAAAAAGTCCAGAGACGAGCTACAAAATTGATAAAAGGAATGGAGCATTTTAGTTATGAAGAAAGGTTAAAAAAATTAAATCTGTTTAGTTTGGAAAAACGGCGCCTGAGAGGGGATATGATAACTTTATACAAATATATTCGGGGCCAGTACAAACCTTTATCTGGAAATCTATTCATAAACAAGGCTATACATAGGACACGAGGTCACACATTTAGGCTGGAAGAAAGGAGATTTCATCTAAGGCAAAGTTTTTTTTTACAGTAGGTAAAAAAGGTAGGTAGGTAGGTAAAAAGGTTTTTTTACAGTAAGCGCAATAAGGATATGGAATTCTCTGCCTGAAGAGGTGGTTTTGTCAGAGTCTATACAGAGGTTTAAACTGCAATTGGATAAATACTTGCAAAAACATAACATACAGGGATATAATTTCTAATTAGTGGGGTAATAGCTGCTTGATCCAAGGAGACATCTGACTGCTGTTTTGGGGTGAAGAAGGAATTTTTTCCTAGTTTGTGGCAAAATTGGAAGTGCTTCAAACTGGTTTTTTTTTGCCTTCCTTTGGATCAACAGCAAAAAATGAATGTGAGGAAGGCTGAACTTGATGGACGCAAGTCTCTTTTCAGCTATGTAACCAGGGCCGTCTTTAAGGAGGGGCAAAAGGGGCAGCTGCCCCGGGCCCAGTTACTCCTGGGGGCCCTAAGGCAACTGCCCCATGGGCCCCCTGCAGCACCTGAGGTAATCAGGGGCCACAGCCCTTTAATACTGCTCTGGACCGGCCCGGGCCCCTGTTTATATTGGGGGTGGCTGACTACATACTCACAGCTAGCCCCCTCACATACTGCCCTGTGAGTCTCTTTGTTTCCTGGGCATGCTGGGAGGAAGTGAGGTCAGATTGCTTCCTCCCAGTAAGAACTGATCACTTCCTCCTCAGTGCCCCTGGGGAGGAGGAACACACTACATGGAGGAGGATGCAAGCATTGTGGGGGAGAGGGACTGAGAAAGCTGATGGCAGACTCCCATCAGCCTGGGCCAGCAAGCTCCCACTGGACCCCAGGGAAGCCACCTTTCTGTACCCAAAATGGAAGGAGACAGGAGGGTGGCTAAATATGTTTTGTTTTTTGTTTTGCTTATTTCTGATATCACTTTTATTTAATTGTGTTGGTGTTTGTAATGTAACACACAGGGAATAAGTACATGTTAAAAATCCTAGAAGAACCTGACAGTTCCCTATTAAATATAAATTTAAAAAGTATTTATTTTAACATATTGCATCAAGTGTTATCAAAGGCTGTACACCATTTTCAAATGTCACTTTTGCCAAATTCTGGACCAGGTTATGTAAGAACAGAGTTGAGACATTATATTGGCCAAGGTTGCTGGGAGTTGCTGTCCAAGAGCTGCTAGAAGGCAGAGATTAAAATATGTAAATGTACACATATATATGTGTGTGTATCTGGCTGTGTTTATGTCCTTGTGTGTATCTGGCTGTGTTTGTCTGTGTGTCAGTGTTTCTGTGTGTATGTATACCTCATACACCTGTATGTGCACCTGTGTGTGTGTTTCGGTGTGTGTGTAAGTGTGCATCTGAGTGTGTGGTAATGCATACATCCCAGCATTTTAATGCCAACACAAATACACTCCTACATTCCATCTCTAGCACTGTACACATATACACCCCTGCATTTATACCTTTATGTATGTGTGTATCTGAGTGTGTGTGTATATACCTGTGTCAGTGTGTGTGTGTATGTGCCAGTGTGTGTATATCAAAGTGCTTGTATCTGTGTGTCAAAGGGTGTGTATCTGAGTGTGTCTGTATGTGTATGTGCCAGTATGTGTCAAGGTGTGAGCATGTGTCAGTGTGAGCATGTGTCAGTGTGAGCATGTGTGTATCTGCGTGTTAATGTGTATGTGTATATGTGTTATAGAAATCACACAACATGCAAACAGACCCCTGCAAACACAAACATTACAAACACACCAGTTTGCTGAAACACTAATACTACACACAAATGTACACATGTATTTAAAAGACAACACTACATCCAAACACCCCCCTGCATGCAAATACAAACATTACATGCAAACACATTCCTGTATTAAAACACTAAAATTATATACAAACACCAACTCTACACACAAAAGTACACCTGCATTTAAAAGCCAACACTACAAACAATCACACATCCCTGCATTAAAATGCAAACACTACACACAAGTACACCACTGCATTCCAATGGTAACAGTACATACAAATACACTCCTACATGCACACATACACTCTATACAATAACATGCTGACATTCATTTGCACAAACACTGCTCAAAAATACAACCCTGCAAGGATGGTAGATCCCCAGCTGGCATAGCATCGCAGGAGTTGTTTGACAGATGGGGATCTATCTTTTCTTTACTCTTGTGCTACAGGGCAGGCCTGAATTTTTTTTTGTTGCACCAAGGCACTCTCTACATTAGTTTCACCTCTAGGTTGGGGTGGAGGGAGTGATTGCATGCCCAGGGGGCCCAAACAGATGCTTGCCCAGGGTCCAATCAATATTAAAGACGGCCCTGTATGTAACTATGTAACTATGTAAGAGTGACATTTTGAGATCACAGGTGACTTCAGCAAGGATGTTGATGTTGATGGAGGAAAAGCTGGGGGCTGTAGAGAAGGAATCTTGGAGCTGGAAACTAGGTAAGTTTATTACATTAAAGTGAACCTTTACAGAGCAAAAGGGGATGGACAGTTATTATATCGTTAGAAGGGAACCTACAGTCACAAAATAACAATTGTTATTTTCAAACCTATAAGTTCCCTTTAAATAATTTTCCCAGTTCAACTAGTTTTACTTTAAATTTGAAATTCACCTTTAATTCTCACATCAGTAAATAAATCTGTATGTTTTGAGTGTGAGAGTGGCCGTCACAGTATGTGGGGTGGCTGTATTTGTTGTATCTGTTGCAGTGATAGAACGAATGTAGAGAAAACCGTGGTGCAAAAATTTGTTCGGGCCCCTGTTACTGCACGGGTGTCCATAAGGGAGATATCCAGCTGTTGTACAATACCACAATGCTTTGCCAGCTCGAAATCTATCATTTCCGATTGTTGCAGGGTTGTATTTAGTCCTGAGCAGTGTTTGTGAGTTTGAATGCAAGCATGATTTTATATGGAGTATGCGAGGGTGTAAATATAGGGGTGTACTTGTGTGTAGCGTTGGCATTTGAGTGCAGTTGTGTGTTTTTATGTACTGTTGCCATTTGAAAGCAGTGGTGTGAATGCATGGTTTGTTTATATAAAATGTTGAATGTTTGAATGTTGATGTTTGAATGCAGTATGTGTATTGTTGGTGTTTGAATGCTGACATCCATACACACATACACATACACTGCAACACACACACTGACACACATGCAGATACAGACACACAAACACACATGCAGATAAACAGAAGACACAAATAGAAACACTGACACACATGCACATATAAAGACATACAGATACCCACCTGACACACATGCAGATACACAAACACACAGATCCAAAAACTGACATACATACAGATACACATAGAAGTTACTCTGGGAGGCTATAAGCTTTCCTGAAGAGATGGGTTTTAAGGAACTTCTTAAATGATTGAAGACTAGAGAAGTCCTACTAGCGCGAGTTACCATTTAGGGTGCGAGCAGCGGACAGCAGAAGGACTTTGGCAGAGTGAAGAGACTGAGAAGGGTCTTACCTACTAATTACTGAAGAAATACAACAGGGGCGGGAGTTGTTAAGAGCTTTATGATAGGATATAAATATTTAACCCATCTTCCATTTTGTAATCACCTGCCAAACTAGAAGCCCTTTTTTACTCAGGTGCCATTTTGTACTCAAGGACCATTGTGTTGTTTACTGCTCAAAGCTGCTTAAATTATAACTTATACCAAGACAATATAAACACATATCTCAATACTAACTCGCTTGCACCAATGACCTTGTACCTACCTTCTCTCCTAACCAACGCTTCCTGCTCAGCAGATAGCTGGAGGAACAAATAACATTGCAAAACCAGAGGGTGGTCAGGTTGATCATTGTACTCGATGTACTCAACTTTCATTGTTCCTTTTTTATCTTAAAATGAGCTATGGTGTCTGTCTTGTGGGAATGAATTATTTTTGAAAATCGTCCAAGATGCTTTTTTTGAGGTAGAATAGACAGGTTTTGGCAACAGACTGGACAAAGGTGAGGCCAAAGTCAAATATAACACCAAGTCAGCGAGCTTGCATGGACAGGCTGATGCGGGCACCATCAGCTTGCAAGAAAAGTAAAAGAGGAGGGCCAGTACAATAAGGAAGAAAAACAAGAAGTTTCGTTTTAGAGTGATTGAGTTTCAGAAAGTGGGAGGGCATCCAAGCAGAGATGTAAGAAAGGCAAGAGGTGACATGTTGTAGGACAGTGGAGGAAGGATATATCCCGGTGTCGTTAGTGTACAGGTGGTTGCGAAATCCAAAGAAATGAATAAGTTTGCCAAGAGAGGCAATATAAAGAGAAAAGAGAATGGGGCCAAGAATTGAGCCTCAAGGGACTCCAACTGAGACAGGAATAGGGGGTATCATAAAAAAGGAGATACTGAATGAACAAGAGGTAGGTGGAGAACCACTAGATGACACTGTCACAGAGACTGAAGGATTGAAGATTTTGGAGAAGGAGGATGTGATCAATAGTGTCAAAGGCAGTAGAGAGCTCAAGAAGAATTAGTATAGATTAGTGGCCTTTGGTTTTAGATTATTATTATTTTTTTATTTATATAGCGCCAGCAAATTCCATAGCGCTGTACAATGGGGATAATTTGTAACTTTAATCAGAGCTGTCTCAGTAGAGTGGAGGGGTGAAGCCTGATTGAAGATGGTCGAGGAGAGAGTTGGAATTGAGGAAACAAGTCAGGAGGGCAAAGACAAGTCTTTCTAGAAGCTCTGAGGGAAAAGCGAGTAAGTATATGGGACAATAGTACGAAAAGGAAGACAGGTCAAGAGATGGCTTTTTTTAGGATAAGCTACCTCTACATAAGGCATTAACTTCAAGACTTGGTAGCTGTGAGTCCTGGGAGCAATCTTATACGTTCAGTTGTTTTGGACATTACCGCACAGTATGTATATATGTATATGTGTGCATATGTATGTATTTGCATGTAAATGCTTTTGTGTGTATTTAGATATGCGTACCCCCCAAGTATCCCTATTTAGGAAGGAAAGTCCCTATTTCTGGCCCAAAACCCTTTGTCTCTCTGTTGTAGCCTAATGTCCCTCTTCCTCTTTGCTAGGAGATCTGTATTGTGTCAGAGTGTATAACAGGGCTCCACAGCTATGATACTCACAGATCCCAGTGTCTTTAAAGTACAATACATGTGTTTAGAGAGGAGCCTGTGTAATAACATACATTGTTCTTGTTCTAAATTACATTTTTATCTGTATAAATTGTTATTAATGCATCATCAGTAGAATCTGTTCAACCCTTGGGTCGCAGGTTCAAATCCCAGCAGGGTTGACTCAGCCCTTCATCCTTCCAAGGTAGATACAATGAGTTCCATTAAATTGGGTAATAGTAACAACCCCTGGATGTTGGGCTAAGGTAACATCCCCAGGACGTACTTGAAAGTTTTGTGCTAGTATTTAAACTCCAAAACTATAAACCACAGTCCATGACTGGTTTCTGGTCACTGGTCCTCTTGGATGGTATCCCGTGCTTTGTTGTTTTTTTTTTTTTAAAAAGCTGTGTTTAAGACAGTGTCCATTGCCAAGGGCAAATGCATAAATGCAGGATAAACACCCCACTCAGACCATACATGGCCGAGCACATATTCGCTCAGGTGTCATATTCATCTAAAAATAACCAAAAAATTGAAAACCCTCCCCCCCCCACATGAGCCCCAGGCTCCGGGGTATCCCCTCGCATCAGCCCTCTTTTTGGCTATTTGACAATCTAGCTATGGGTCAATCATACGTGCACTGCTTAACTTGCATATATACATGAGGCACAGCCTCAGTAAAAGCAGGCTAGCTAAAGGCTCACGAGAATCACGAACCACCATGTCATATTTATACAGCACAATGCGTGACATAACTACTTTCACCTACTGATACCTATCGACGCATAACAGCTTAAAGGGACGTTCCAGGCACCCAGACCACTTCTGCCCATTGGAGTGGTCTCGGAGCCAACCCCCACTACCCTTAACCCTGCAAGTGTAATTATTGTTTTTTTATATATAAACTGCAATAATTACCTTGCAGGTTTAACTCCACCTCTAGTGTCTACTAGACAGCCACTAGAGGGCACTTCCGTGTCTATAGCACAGGTTTTCTGTGCTAGATCATCGCTGGACGTCCTCATGTTGTGTGAGGACCTCCAGCGTCGCTCAATTCCCCTTAGGAAAGCATTGAAAAGCATTGCCGTGCATGCGCATTAGGTCTCCCCAGCTGGCGGGCGGGATCAGTCTCGCCCACTGGCCGACGTAATGAAGAGGAGGAGCGGCGGCGACCCGAAACCACCACCGAGGGACATCGGCTGGGGTCTCAGGTAAGTTACTGAAGGGGTTTTCACCCCTTCAGCAACCGGGGATTGGGAGGTGGGAGGGAGAGGGGACCTGCAGTGCCAGGAAAACAGATATTCTTTTCATATGTATATCTTATAGCATCTTCTAGATTATGAAACTCTGGGAAGTGATAGTGTTGCTTTAAAGGACCACTATAGTGTTTTCCTGGCACTGGAGAGTCCCTTTAAGCACCCTAGGCAACCTGAGTTACCAACCTGACCCTACACTGTATCATCACCACCAATGTTGTATACTACAAGCACTACAAAATAAAGAATTATAAAAAAAAAAAATATAAAGTCTGAAATGCGATATCTGCCTGGACTCATTTACTGTAAAGCTGGGAATTTTGGGATTGTTGTGGAAAACATGATTTCTTGAGTTTCTGTGCCCAAGGCGGGACTTTCCAAAGTCCAATTTGAGAAATGCAAGTGATGCACAACATTAATATATATATACATTGTACATGAGTTTAGGAACAGAGGTGCACACTTATATGTTGTGTATAAGGGAACAAATGCTTGTAAATGTTACAGTGGGCCTCTAATGCAGCAGAATGGAGAAATTATGATGGTAATACCAACTATAAAGTAATATATTACACTTTCATTCTGACACTACTTCATGCCCTTCCTCCTTCCCTACTTATTTATTGATTTCTATTTTTCGAGGACAGTTTTAAACTTTATCTGGGGCTATGGTGGTTGCACTTCACTGCAAAATGGCTGCCATTCTGATGCTGCAGGATGTCTCAGAGTGCTTGCTGGTTTAATCTGACAGCGGCATTCTGTGCCGCACAGTGAGAGAGCACGGATAGTGACAGCGGAATTACAGTCTACAGGCTGCTTGGTCTTTGATCAGCACATTGAAGGATCTGAGACGCCTGGGTGCTGTGCCTCCGGGGCACCCAGATTAGCTCACCTCTGGTGAACTGACAGGGAACAGTAAATTAAAATAGTTGCGGTAAAAGCAAGTGTAGTAAGCATTAGTACAGCAATTGTGAGGATAGATCAGGCCCAGAAAAGCAGACACGAAAACTGAGCAAATGCCTGAGAGACGTGTGATAGACTGTGAGAATAGGTTTAACAGAATGCTTCACGCACCATAACCACTACAACTCATTTTATAACGGTTTAACTTCTTGCCTGGAATTCGCCAGATGCCCCTCCTCACCTTAGCTACTGCTGATGGAGAACCGAAGGATCCTACGCAGTTGTTTCCGTTAGCTGTACTGCAGTATAGAACTGGCTCATTGACTGAGAGTGTCAGCTGATTGCTCTCAGCCAATGAGCTAAGTCCTGAACTGTAGGGCTTAGCTCAAACAGAGAGCTTCTCTACGGCATAGGCGCCCAGGAAATAGGTTAAATTGTTCTAAAATGTTTTGACTACTTAAAATGAGAGGTCGCCAGGGCCCTTCTGCCTTGCACCATAACTACTACAACATGCTGAAGTAGTTATGGTATTATGGTACTTGGGGTATCCTTTTAAACAGAACCTCCAAAAGTAGGGGTCTTTGGAAGATCCTGCAAGAATGCAGGACCTTCCACAGATGATATTGTACATGGGCCACAAGATGCCATATGTATCTATTGCTCATAAAGTGAGTTTGCCTGTTTTCACCAGCTGTTACGTGCAATGCCACTAACGACAGGATGTGGAATCTGCTTGCAGCTGGCCCATTGGCAGCATTTTTCCATTTATAATAGGTTGTATGAGGCAAAGTTTTTTAAATACTCTTTTCATATGTATATCTTATAGCGTCTTCTAGATTATGAAACTCTAGGAAATGATAGTGTTGTTTTAAAGGACCACTATAGTGCCAGGACAACAAACTCGTTTTCCTGGCACTATAGGGTCTTTAGGTCCCCCCCACCTTCAGGGTCCCACTCCCGCCGGGCTGAAGCAGGAGGAAGGGGTTAATCACTTACCTTTCTCCAGCACTGGATTCACTCGGCGCTGGGGAAATCTCCTCTCTCTTCCGACATCACCACCAAATGCGCATGTGCGGCAAGAGCCGCACGCGCATTCATTCAGTCCATAGGACTTTCTCAATGCTTTACTATGGATGTCAGCTTCTTCTCAATGTGATTTTCACAGTGAGAAGTGCGGAAGCGCCTCTAGTGGCTGTCTCATTGACTGGATTAACCCTAACGTAAACATAGCAGTTTCTCTGAAACTGAATATATATATACATACACACACACATACACTGCTGTGTATGTGTGTGTGAGGGTGCTGTGTGTGGGCACTGTGTGTAGGTGCTGTGTGTGTGTGTGAGGGCGCTATGTGTTTGTGAGGGTGCTGTTAATGTGTGTGTGTGTTTGTATGTGTAAGGGTGCTGTGTGTGGGCACTATGTGTAGGTGCTGTGTGTGTGTGAAGGCGCTGTGTATACATGAGGGCACTGTGTGTGTGTGAGGGTGCTGTTAGTGTGTGTGTTTGTATGTGTAAGGGTGCTGTGTGTGTGTGTGCTTGGGAGGGTGGTGTGTGTGTGTGTGTGTGTGTAATGGTGCTGTGTGTGTGTTTGTGAGGGTGGTGTGTGTGTGTGTAAGGGTGCTGTATATGTGAGGGTACTGTGTGTGTGTGTGTTAGGGTGCTGTGAGTGTGTGTGTGTGTGTATGTGTAAGGGTGCTGTGTGTGTGTGTTTGTGAGGGTGGTGTGTGTGTAAGGGCACTGTGTGTGTGTGAGGGTGCTGTTAGTGTGTGTGTGTGTGTGTGTGTGTATGTGTAAGGGTGCTGTGTGTGAGGGTACTGTGGGTGTAAGGGTGCTGTTAGTGTGAGGGTGCTGTTAGTGTGTGGGCGCTGTTAGTGTGAGGGTGCTGTGTGTGTGTGAGTGCTGTTTGTGTTTATTGTGTGGGGGAACCGTTTAATTAATATCCCCCCTCCCTTCTTACCTTTTGTAGGGAGGGGCTACCATGCTGCTGCCATCCCTGGTGGTCCAGTGATGAGTGAACTCTAGCTTGCAACTGTAAGACTGGATATTTTTCAGGCGTCTCGCACTGCCATGGACTTGTCACCTAATTTCTGCTTTCCAGCTTATCTCTTTCTCAGATCTGGCAAAAGGCTTGTCAGAAATCACACACACAGGAGAACGCAATGTATTTCATCATGCCCTTTAATTTCCCCCTCCCAACAAGGA